GCTATTACAAAATAGTATCCGGGAGTGGGGGTACAAGTGTACGAATGGGGATGAGACTTAGAGTATCCAATAAGTTACAACCAAATCGAATTCGCAATCAAATGTAAATATCGAATATACAAATATAAGATAAACAAATGTGTATAGGGCAATGTGAATGTATTTGCATTGTGTAAGCGTATAATGTGAAATATATTGTAAGTGTACAAGTATATGTGTATGTGGATATTTACAGGTGCGAAACGTGAAATTGAAGCGTATTAGGGTATTTGACCTAGATATGCGTTTTAATGAATCTTTGATTTGTGTATTTTTAATATGTACAAAAGAAAAAGTGTTTTAAATTAAATGCTCAAGTTTTAATTAAATTATGAAATGATGTATCATTGTTTTAAAAAAAGTGTTTTAATTAAGTTAGGATTTTGCAAAGAATAAAAAAAGAAAGTATTGTTTATAATATAAAAAGGGTTAGTATTAATGTTTGTTTTTTATAAAAAAAGGGTTTAAAATTCTAATGGGCTTTTAGGGGGGTGCAGAATGGGCAAGGCCCATGTTGAATTTGGAACAAATTTTAGGGTTAGGGATTATTGTTCATTTGATAACGCGTTAGGGTTTGGGACGGCGCCGTCCGTGTTCGTTCAACGTTCTTCTTCATCTTCATCTTCCTGAGCGCTTCTCTTTCCGGCCACCAGCGTCACCCCCAAAGCCTCTCTTCCCTCCATTGACATGAGCCCTGTGGTCTTGTGATTCAAGGTTCGGTTTTAATGTTTGTGTTTCCTTTTTCTTTTATGAATTGCGTGCGTTTTTGACTTGAATTGAGTTATGATTCTTAAACCTGTACTATTATTAGGTGGTGAAGAAGAAAGGGAAAGAAAAGCTGGCTACCTGACTTTGGAGAAGGAGGAGAGACGGGGGATGTGGCGCTCAGGAGGCCGGGACGGCGAAGAGGACAGACGTTCGCGCTTTGAACTCCCGGTATCTTTTATCTGGTTGCTATTTTTTGCCTATGGTTTTGATGATGATTTCAACTGAAAAACCCTATCCTGAAATAGATTCACTTCTTTATCTTTTCTCTTCTACTACATGTTGCCTTTGAGCATTTGTATACCTTTGAATATGCTGAACTCGTTGCCTTGAATTGTTGTTGCTGGCCCTCTGAGATTGATACCTTTACTGCCTGCTTGTTGCCTCGAACATTTGCTTCTGAGTATGCCCGAATATACTTGCTTCTGTATTTTCTTTATTGCCTAATGATGAATCTAGGATTCTGAAGGACTTGTGGGGTTGGGAACTAGCATGATTTTATGTTTGTTGCTCCTGAACGAAATTTATCTCCTCTTCTCTCGTGTTGCCCTGAACTTGTCTTGAGTTGGATGCCTTTGGAATGTTTTTATTGCCCAGTGATGTATGTTTACTGAGGGCCTAGGGTTGGTTGGCTCAGGTTTGAATTTGGTTATGTTTGTGCTAGCAGGTTGGTGTGTTGACATTAGGTGTTATGCTTAGGACTTTTTCTGGTTTATGAGCTTCACCAAACTGGCTTTAGTATGTGGTATGTTGGTATAAGCTGGTTGGAATGGTTTTGTGCTGGTGTTTACTGATGCAGGTCATGGGTTTTAGACAGGTTATGGGTCTAGGCAGCTTTGGCTTCAGCAGGGTCTTTTTATGGTGGTTGGAGTTTTTTGATTCAGGACCTTGTCTTTGAGGCTTGGACTCATGCAGGTTTATGCTTGCAGTAGGTTAGGTTCTTGGTTAAGGCTCTTGCAGGTTAGTATGCTTGGTTGGTAAAATGGTTTTAGCAGGTATGGTGAGGTTTTTGACAGCAGGTCAGCTTCAGGCTTGGTGGTTTATCAGGTTTTTCAGTTGGTTTGCTTCAGGCCAGGACCTTGTAGTTTGTATATTTTTCCTCTTGTTTTTAGGTTGGATGCTTGTATATTTTTGTCTTGTTATTTTGTGAGAGTTCTGCTACCTTTTGTGAACTATCTTTGTTCTTTTTGTATATCTTTTTCCCTATCCTCTCCCTGAGCCTAAAGCCTGAAAACCTGCTTCTATTTCTCTCTTCTCTCTCTCTGTAGTACAACTGGATATTATAATATGATTCTTTTTGTACTTTTTCTGAAAGGGTCACTTGATGGGAAATGATGATTTAGAGTTAGCTTGCTTGCATACCACTTCTCTGCATCTTTATCCAGCTTTTGTGCTTTGTCTTTTCTTTGATATCTTTTCCAAATCCTTCTTTGACAGCTTGGGTAGACTTTTTGTATTTTTGACAGTAGGTTGCACTTTTGGCTTTTGATAGAAAGTGGTAACTTGGATTTTTTTCAGTTTGGTTTGAATTTGAAGTTTGAGATTTTGAAACTGTGCAGTTTGATATTCTATGCATTTTGACATTTGCATTTTAGTAAACAAAAACTCGTCCCTCTTTGTGAACCGGGAGAAATCCCGTGATTTGCAGAGAGGGTCAACTGATCCCAGTCAGTGGCCCTTAATGATGAGTCTAATTTTAACCATCTTTTCCAATTTAACTGCTTTCTGACTTTCTCTTTTCTTTTTGCAGATGAATAATGGAACACCGGAGCGGAGTGAAGAATGAAGAGATTAGGGACTTAGAAAATGTTTAGAAAAAATAGGATAATTTTTATTTTCAATTTAATTATTTGTAAACCATTATTATTTTAAATACTTCGTAATAAATACTTGTATCCAAATAATAATTGTAACAACTATTAAATATGAAATAAAAATTCCATTGATTCATTTAACTCTTTTCAATTCCTTTTCTTTAATTGTTTACTTGTTATTTATAATTCCTTAAATTAAATAAAATGAAAGTTTAAATTTCAAATATTTAATTCTTAGAACCATAAATAATCAACTAAACCTTGTTGATCAAAATAAATGAATTCGACGTCTCCATCATTCAGAGCAACGCACAGTCGAACACAAAAACTGATCAGACGCAATCCTCCTTTTCACTGATTCTTTGCCAAGCACTGTAATTCCAAACTGCATATTCTTTGATTGGCTCAAACAAAACAACATGAATTCGAACCACTGTCTCTTTCACTGATTAAATCAAAACAATGCGAATTTTAACCCGAATCTCGGAATAAACTGCAAAGTGCTGTGGAATTTTAAATCCTTCTGAGAACATGCCCACAAAACCTTAATTCCTGATTAAATGCCAAATAACGTTCGCCTGATCAAAATTGAACCAAAAATCATCCAGAACCCTAAGCCAATTGTGAAACAATCCAGAGTCCTGAAAATCAGTAAAAACCCTAATTTCGCTTGACTGACAAGAAAAGTCCGTTTGTCCGATTCTTGAGTCAGTTTAAAAAATCAGGAAAGACTTGAAGCTGAGATTTCTTGGGGAAAAATGCGAGGGCAAATTTTGGGGTACAACATTGGGTTATTCAACTGATATTAACAATAAATAATCTATAAGAGCAACAAAAAGTATATACAAAAACAACTACAATTTGCACTTATCATGTTAGAGCAATCTCACGCTGGAATAATGAGAAGCTTTGTCTATTGGTGTTTTATGAGTGAATTAAATGTCCTTCTCAATCTTAGGGGTGAGGTATTTACAATAACCTCTTAGGCCCAGGTCTTAGAACCCATGGAAGAGCGTGAGACATGGGTAATTATGCCTCTTATTACTATAATGTAGCTTCCCCTTTTTGACTTCCTTTCCCACATTATTATAGACAATGACATATTTCCCCCATGTTTCCATAAATGAGCGAGCAATACAGAAAACAAGTGATATAACTAGGAAATGGATAGTTATGTCTCTTATTACAATAATGTAGCTTTCCCTTGTTGACTTCCTTTTCCACATCATTATAAAGAGTGGCATGTTACCCCCATGTTTCCATAAATGAGAGAGTAATACAGAACCCGACAATATAACTAGGAAATGGGTGCACATTGTGATAAAATGACTCACATAATAATAGGTAGGCAACTAGCGACCCAACTTTGGGAGATGGATATTACACATCCACTTTTGATGAATCGTGTTCCGTCTCTTGTATATCCTTTGCAAATATACTAGTATACTGATGAAAAAGACAAAAACTCAAACACAAGATCAGACGAGCTTTTACAACTACATTTCCTTTAGATGTTGATCTTAAAATTTAATTTATCATAGTTTATCTCTCAAAATTGGAGCTTGATCAACTTTTGTTTTTGATAACTTCTTGTTTAATGATGTTTTTGGTTAAAATTGCCTTGTTTTATTGTATCATCAAAATCTTATAATGCTTTAACCTGCATTACACATATAATACATAGTTCTTATTATAGGCCAAAAAACGTGTCTCTTGTGAAGTGAGTTGAATTCTACTTCAATTGCATATTTTTATTTTTGTCAATCCTCACATTGTCTTCAACCTTTAAGATACATTGGTTCATTATCCTTGATATCAACTATCACCTTTTGAGCTATATACAAAAAATTATCATCAATATCGACTTCATGTCGGTTCTAATATATTCTATTATAGATATAATTTATCAATATCTCTCCATTTTAACGAATTTTAGATATGGAGCTGAAATGTTTATTGTGTTTGTAATTTTTTTAAATTTTCTATATTTTTGTTCGGACCATTTTATTCTTAATTCCCTTTCTTATTTTAGAATTTTCATCTTTGAAACCTATTGGTCTATACGTTTCATACATGAAGATTCATTTTTATTACACCATTAAGTATAGTCAAATTTATTTAATGAGATAAATGTTGATAGTAATTTACCCATTTACCCTTCACCGGCACACCGATTTTACTTGAGTTTTACGGATACTTGTTAGCCCAAAGGTTCTTAACTGAATCCAATCCCTCTTACTTTCTCTACTCACATTCTCAATCTCAATCCTCAACTTCGTGAAAATCTCTGCAACGAAACCCTTCCAATTCGATTCGGTTTTCGAAATGTCGAGTAGCTGGAGAAGAACGTTCGGTAACGCAAGATCCTTCGTTAACAATTCAATGGGCGGTCTGCGAGGAGGAAGTAACCTTGCCTCCTGGGTTGTCGCCGGAACCCTAGCTTACTTCCTTTGGATTAAACCCTCCCAAGACCTCAAACGTGAACAACAGGTTATTCATTTTCTCTATTTTCTTTCTTATTTTCAACTATTGCGAACGATGATTGATTGAATTTTCCCTAGGAAAAAGCTGCTCTTGCTTCCGCTGATTCCTATCGATATGTCGAGACTCGAAAACCTGTTCCTGATCCTCAAGTTCGTCTTCTTACCAGTTTTGCTTCTTATATATTCTAGATTTCATGCTTCTCTTTGCTATTGTTTTCTAAATTTTGATATTTCAATTTTGATTTTAGGTTACAGGTTTGATATATGGAAGCAACAACAAAGATAATTCAAATAGGGCACAGGATTAGCTTATAGCTTGTAAGTTTCTTGCCTTCTTACTTACTTGTACTAGTTCTATATAAATTTGTAAAGAATTAACTGAGTTGAGTTTTTCTCTATTGAGTTTAATGTTAATGGATTCTCTCTGTTGAGATTTTGAAAATATTAATGAGTTTAATGCGAATGGATTCTCTCAACTTTGATATCTCTGGTGAAATCTCCACCTTCAAAGTCCCATGTAGTGTTGTCGATGGCCGATGGCGTTGTATGGCAGAGAGCCAAAACCCCGCTTCGGTTGATATTTACCATTACGGTGAGCCCGAAAACCGCCATGGAAGATATTTGATAGCATTGGTCCCATGTCCATACTTTTCTGTTATTTAAAGTATCTAGTTATTGGTTTTAAGTATGGGCTTGGATTTTTACCAAATGAGAATAACACGTGAGAGAATCCTAACTCGAGTATAGTAATTGTACGCTGACTATATGTATGTATACGTTGAATCATGTTACATGAACTTGATACGTTGCAAAGATAAAAGGGTAACCCAGTGCACGAGGCTCCCATTTTATGGGCTCCGGGGGGGTCGGATGTATGCAGCCTTACCCCTGTTTATAACAGAGAGGCTATTTCCAGCAGGATTCGAACCCATGACCCCAAGGGTTGCAAAGATGATCTTCTGAAATTATGAAGTGACAAAATAGTGAAACTTGATCGAGCGGACATGTAAACCTAATTTACGTTGTTCGTAATATAGTTATTAAATTACTTTCTGTAGTGTACGGCGATATGCTAATGCTATGATGCATTGATATGTTAATACCCTTGTATGGATATTTTAACATGACTGTGCGTACTTCTGTCAGTCATGTTTCACCAACTCGACATGTAGATGTTCTTCTGAAAGTAATATTATGACGCGACAAAATAATGGAACTCCGTCACGCGTACTTGTAAACTTAATTAATTAGTTTACGTTTTTGGTAATATAGTTATTATATTGCTTTCTATATTGTATGGCGAAATGCTAAGGATATGGTGCACCGATTTGTCAATACACTGATATGGATATCTTAAAATTTGAGATATGATAAACCCGGGGTATGTGTTTGAATATGCTTAAAAAAGTTCACGGAGTATAAAAATTCTGTTTGGATATTTACTTTCTAGATGTTACCTCTTATAACTGTACCTGGTTTTGGTTGTATGCTGTAGGGTTTGGACTTTGGACCAGAGTAGTTAATAGCGGCGCTGTCCTCCTATAGCGGAGCGGAGGCTGGCCGCTACGGGAAGAGCTTTAGCGGTGCAGAACACTATAGCGGCCACTATATTGTAAATAGCAGGTAGTGTGGGCAGAGTGTTTCCCGGGCCGGAGCAGTTTTTGTCCCGCTATTCTTTTCCCTTATGAAAAACCGAAGTTACCTCATTAATTTATATTGTTTTAAGGGTACTTCTGGATTTTTCAATCAAATTTGAGTTGAGAGTCAATCCTAACCTTTCTTCACCGATGTTTCTGCACTTGAGTCGTTCTAAAGAAAAATCACAAATTCCTCCCTCACCTCTCTCACTCCATATTTTTATAATTATGATTCATGTAATTTATCCAAACAAATGGTTAAATAGTGGCCATCCCGCGATATGCTATCCCGCTATCCCATTTTTAGGGTAAGCTGGGATTGACTACTCTGCCTTGGACTAGGAGAAAAACATAAATATAATAAATTTCAAGTATTGCGCAAACTTATTGCTAAAGAACAAAAACCTGCTGCAATCTTTTAAGAAGCACACACATACATTAGCCTGAAAATAAGGAGTCATATGTTAAAATCTACCTTTGAAACCCAAATGCTTGAGACGATACGGGTATGTTATAACATGAATACGGGAAATTCTTAAGAAGCAATAAACAATATGTGGTAGATATGTTGACACAAATTTATTAAAAATAATCATAATTTACATAATCTGGATAATATTTGTAAAGAGACATTGTTATTTTCCATTTATAGGTAACTAACTATTTATGCTGATGACAATCACAACTTAGGAAAATAATACGGGTAATCCATGTGGTCGATCACAGGATCTTAAGTAGGATAATTAGGCCGGTGATCATAACACGACATGTTAGATCCTACCCAGTGGCGGAATCAGACCAAAAATTTTGGGATGGCCGCTAAGATAAACTAAAAATTATAAATAATTATAAAAGTTTTATATATAAAACATTTAAATTTTAATCAAATTTAATAAAATATTAACAAAACATAATTATATATTCGCAACGATCGTGATAAAAACATTAACTTCTTGTTTATTGTCAAGCAATTCATTAAGATAACAATTCTCAAGAATAAAAATGCATAATTTTAACACTAAAGTAAACACTTTAAAATTATAGAATGTATAATTTTAATATTCGAATAGAATTTTGAAATTAAAAATACATCAAAAAAATGAAATGAAACTTACTAAACATATATAATGAGAAGAGATATGATGGAGACTTATATAAGTGTATATGGTGATGAATGTATTAGATGTAGTTGTGACACTATTAAAATTTTGACATTTTTAAATAGAAATTTGGAATAAAATAAAATTCGTCTTAAATGATATTAAGTTTTTAGATGAATTTCAATCATGTAGAGATTTTGAGACGGATTTGAGACTAATTATATAATTTTTGTTTTTTTACTATATTTTATAAATTTTATTCCAAATTCATGTGATATATTGAGGCGGGTTTGAGATAAATTTCAATTATAGAGACTTTTAAGATATATTTCAAAAACCGATACATAATTGTTTATTATTTTATTATTTTTTTTGGAAATTCGATTTTAAATTTGTGTAAAATACCAAGACGGATTTTAGAAAGAATCTCATTGTGTACGGACTTTGAGATGAATTTTAGATATAATTTAAAATTGTTGTTTATTTTATTATTTTTTATATTTCGACTTAAATTTGTGTAAAATATTAAGCCAAATTTGAGACAAAATTACGAAGAGTCCTTAAAATAATAATATTATTCACAAAATACTTATTTATTTTATTTGTTTTTATGAAAATTATGTTTCTAAGTCCTTGTCAAATATTTAGACGAATTTGAGACTAATGTTAATTTTATAAATAATCATTGAGATGTATTTTAAATATAATACACAATTATTATTATTATTATTATTATTATTAATAGTTTTGCTTAAAAAAATAATATAAATTAATTAAGAATATCAATATTAAATTAAATAATTAATTTAGTAATAGTTAAGAATGATGATAAAAATAGTTGAGTGTAAGTGTATTGTATGTCTGAATGTATTGTGTGGGACATGACATCTAATCAGGATTGAAAGTACATCTCAATTTATTAATATTTTTAATGTATCAGTCGTGTAAATTTAATGAACATATTTTTCAGCCTGTAATATCTAATGGTAATTATATATGTTTTCCTTTAAAAAAAAAGAATAATGGGGTGACCGTGGCCTTCCTTTGCCACCCCCTGTCTCCGCCACTGAATCCTACCGATGGGCAAAGTTGTAGTTTCATATACACACACAAAATCATAAAGATTGTAATACATGGAAAATAATCCACAAATCACAATATTCAACCAATTTAATTAATAATTCATAAACATCATTGCAGAGAACAGAGGGGGAAGGTAAACTGTTGTGTTTCAGGGTTTAGGAAAGTAAGGGAACTCAAGTTTCAATTTTAAGTAAACCTTTTGTTTAAATCATAATCCGACCCAGTTAAGGAAGGCCCAACCATTGTTATTGAATATCGGCAATGGCGGCGCCATGGCAGAAATCAGTGGCGGTTTTTTGTCTCACCGCAATGCTAAATATTGGCCGATATTGTGGGTTTTTCCACCATAACCTGCTATGACGGCGCCACAAGGCAGCCAGTATGGTTGGATTTTCGCTCTCCGCCATATGCCATAGACAACACTGACCCAACGCAAATCAGAAACCCAACAAGGTTTTCCTTTACGGTCGTGCCTGAAGATCTCGATCTTGACCTCGACGGCCCCAAAAAAATATCTTTCTCTTATGGCAGCATATCCCGGTAGCCGTAGCACGGATCCTACGACCCAACACTAGATCTTGACTACATTGCTTGTAATTATAACAAAAAGAGCATAGAGACGCATCTTTCCCTAATCGATATCAAAATGTCACGAAAAAGAGTCAAGATTTTGGAGTTGTACTTGTATCCTGAAGAAGAAAAAAAAGCTTCCAGAATATGTCTATCAATATTGTCTCTAAATTTTTTGGAGGATACTTATAGGAAATATATATTGGAATACAACATTGTAGGCATAATAGGTGATGCAATATTGGATGTTAGAACAAAACCATACTTCAACAATTTAGTTTATACGGGCTTCATAAATATTGACTTAGCAAACAACAAAGTTATGCGTTAGATGGACTTAGTTAAAGAAAAAAAAGGAAAGATATTAACAGTAGCATATTTTTTGATTTAGGGGACAGCAAAGAAAGGAAATTAGGAAAGGCGGTAATGTGAGTTTCCCCTTGTTTGATGGGAAGAGGAAAAATTATACCTGGGGACCCAACCAAAAAATGTAATTGCCCCAACTGACACGACAATAGTCTACGGTAAAACAAATTCCAACATATTTGTAAATTTCCTTTTCTTCGTTCTCTTAAAACCCTATTCTACTAGAAAACCCGTGTCCTTGTGCACCCCTTGAAGCATCAACAAACATTAATTGTTACTCCCTCAACCTGATCAATAATTTATAGGATGAGTAGTGTTATGTGACAGTAGAGGAGTCATGGAGCACACAACCAGCTACATATATGGAACATGGTTTGGCACTTTTGTCATGTTCCCAATCCGTTATTTTCCACTGGCAACAAAAATTAATATCAAAATAAGCTTCTGAGTATTGAGTAAAATAAAGAGGCATCGGTTAAGCACTGAGCAGTGAGTAGGGGGTCACTGGATCCTAGAACTGACCCTATTCTACTGTTGTGAGCTGAGTTTTGGCTTCTTTTGAATTGATTGTTTCTGTGAAAGACCCGCCCTGTTTCATTGCCGGAGATGGTCATTGCTTTAAGTTATCAATTTGCATAATATTCACATTTATTAATAGAACTTTTTTGTAAAATAATAGATCATTCCTTGCAGTTTTGTCCCTGAAAAATTGTAGGTTTTTTTTACTTTTTATCTGTTCTTTCTCAACTCTCTCAATTCGAAGTCCAAACAACCTATAAAATATCCTTTTTTTCTATCTACTCTTTACTTTTTCTCTCTTTTCTACGTAGTGAACAAAAAATGTAAAGAATCATAAGTTTCTTGCTTGATAAACAAAAGGGCCGTTGTGTTCAGATGAGTTGATAGAAAATTGATATTTTGTGTAAAAGTGGCTCAAATACTTTATCGATATGTAAAGGTAAAGTATCAAAGAGTATCTATATCATATTGGATATGTGTCCATTGTGGATTTATTTTGATGCATGAAGGGATATCATGTATCAGAATTCAGAGCTTCATGGCCAATATATATATAATGCCCTGAATTTAGAGTATATATTTATTTTTGTATTTGTGTTTGTGATAGCTTTATTATTTGGGTTGGTGATAGCTTGATTATTTGGTTTAATGCTCTGAATGACAAGAATGTTGATTTATTGGTTCATTTGTGATGATGATCTTGGCAGGATTCAAAATGGAAACAAACTGCAGCGAGACTTATACTATTTTTGGATGCATGGCCAGTTTCAACTTGCTGTGGCTCTCCCATAGTTTATCTCTAAATAAAGGTTACCATTTCTTGTATAAATGTTGCTGAAAAATAATACTGTATTAAGGATATAGTAAATTAAATTGTCTGTTTTACATATCAGCAGTGCTCTGCTCTTCCCACATATCCATCACACTGTCTACCCTTCAAATGTTACAGTGTAATTTTCTTGAGTTTTGAGGATGAATGTTGATAATAGTCAAGCATTACTTGTGAAGAAATGTTTGGGATAGGTTCATGGTAATTGTTGAGTCACACAAAAAAGCTATTTCAAGCATGGTAATGATTAACATATGTCCTAAGAACCATCCTCAGCATTTTCTTTAAGAAATTGTATTATTAGCGCCGCTTCATTACCTCTTCTGTTTTGCATTACAAATTAATAAAATAGTTTAATACAACATGACAAATTTGACAAAATCATTGTCTAGCATCTGAGCCACACTTGTGGAATGTCTTGGGGTTTGTTTTTTTATACTGGAAGTGTTGGTTAAAGAGTTCCGAATATGAACCAAAATCGAAACACTTATTTGATCAGTTTTGGTTTGAATAATGTGAACAGAAAAATTACAAAAGAGAGTTCCGGTATACATAATTTTTTTGGTCATCGGAGAGTTTTGAAAGAGTTGAAACTGAGAATGAGAAAAAATGAAAAAAATCTGAAAAATAAACTATTTATATAAAAGGTATTTTTGTAAAAAAAATAAAATAAATTATTGGCATATGAGATAAATATAGAAGTTTAAGGTAACATTTTCAAAAAGAGAATGTCAATAAGGGCCTTAGGGCGTTGTTTAAATAACTAAAAAAACGTTTGTATTAAAAATTGGTATACATACATACAGAAGTAAAACACTTGTGTTTTCAAGAAAAACAAACTTTTTTTTAATGAATTCTTCAACCAATGTTATACCCCTCACAGCATTCGATAACAAGACTCTTGAGATAATAAGCTCATTGCAAGGCAATGATGATTGATGTCGGATGTTGACCCCAACAAAATAAAACAGAGTTAATAATAAACGTGTAGCAAAAGTGGAAATATTTATTCCAATATACATTTTTCCAACTTTTCAAAATAATCAACTTTCCATCGTATTTTTTAATATATCTGTGTTTTAAAATAAATAAAAAAACTTAGAGATATTATATTTAAATAGGAGGTACCAATTGAATTGACGACTTTTATTTTTTTAAATTCTTTTGTGCCACTTACGGATTTTTCAATATATTTGATGATATTTGCAGATTTGACGTTACTTATAAATTTATTTATATAGACAAAACGGTAAATCTATAAATAATATTAAATATGCAGTAAATTTTTTTATTTATGATATAAATTGAAAAATATGGGTATTGAGATTAAAAAACTTGCAAAAGTGCCGAATCAAATTTTAAATATTAAGAAACATGATTAAAAAGTTTGGGAGAGTTTGGAATAAATACAAAGAAATATAGAATTGAAAACAACGATTTAAAAACAATAAATCTTAGTGGTTCAACAACTTTTTATGTTTAAGTTATCATCATAATAGAAATTATATAAATAGATAACAAACTGCATCAGTGTTCTTTTTCTTGACAAAATCAATTTAAAAAACTATATCTATTAGTTAGTGAGACCAAACATTGTTACACATGAGCATTATGATTCTATGTAAAAGATTTAATGTCTCTAGTGCTAGAAAATCAAAAGTAAATACACATATGGTATGAAAGTATCTTGATTGTCAATATGATTTTTTATGTTTGACTATTTTATTTAAAATGACTTTGAGGATTGTCTATTTCACAATAAAACCTCTACTCCTCAATCTCACCAGTAAAGAAATCTCAATCAAGTCCACACATGCATATTTTCCTCTTATCCAACTATACACCAGAACATCTAGTGTCCTAAATATACATCTCCCCTTCTGTATAAACTCCTGAAGAAGATTATGAAAGCGTATTGCATTCTCCTAGTAGCTTTACAAAAAAACCATGAGATCATCAATGAAGAAAGTATGACTAAGAATGATAGTAACACGTGAAGTTATGCAATTAATTCTTCCTTGATTGACCAATTTAGGGGATGGTAAAAAAGAGAAAATTAGGGGGGGAGCTTTTTCATTGACGAGGATAGATAATTTTGCTGATTTGAGGATTGTGAGAATAAAAAAAGCTATGAATACCTATTGTATAATGAAAATTTTATATTGTTCTAGCTATCAGACTATGTTGTGGTTGTTATAGTTAATAATATAAAAATATAGTTAAAACTATAGTTAGTAATATATTTATGTTGTTTAAATTTATTTGTACAAAATATAATAATATAATTGTTCTGGACTGGGTCCGTCCTGGCCCAAGAGCAAGAGCGAAAGCCCAATCCAAGCAGCTTTTTAAGGAGTGCGCGCTCGAAAATCCCCGCCAACGCGTCGATCAGAAGTTAAAGCCTTGCCCGCCTCTGCCCGCGAACATGGCATCCTCGACCACATGAAGTCCAGCTCGGGCCCGGCTCGAGCACCCTCCTCGTAGGGCATACTATGACCATTACTCCATCACCTGAACTCCGGAAAGACCGCGTCCTCGTTCCTCCGAACTTCTCGCAGAGCATCACCAGGAAGGGGACCACGTGCGGGTCCCCACTACACACGTAGAACCTGGCAGTTCCTTTATTGGGCCAATCCTGGTCGGCCCAACAAAGGGACCTTGGCCCCGCGCTGGGGGCTATAAATACCCTATATCCCTAGAGGGTCAGGTATTCATTCTCTTACCCATATACACACTTTTTGCCTGCTCGTACTACCTCTCACTTTAGCATCAGAGTGCCTTGCAGGTACCCCCCCCATCTCGTTTAACTTTTGCTCAGAACCAGTCGTGACGGTCCAAGTCTGATCCGGTAAGATCAGTGGCGCAGTCTGTGGGAAACTAGCTTCCCCGTCTTGCAAAACTCGAAGACCAAAGCTCAACTCAACTATCACCGTCATGGCTGACCAAGTTCGTGATGAACAAAACATCCGCGTCGTCGACACCAACAACGGCCTCGCAGATAAAAATGGACACCCCGATAACGCCGGTAACCCCGGTCATAACACCCTCCCTGTGGTAACTTCCCCCGGACCCTCAGTCCACCGCGACGGAGTTACTGCATCATCCTCCTCGGTCCCTCCACCGCTCGAAGAAGACAATGCAGCTCCCACAAATTATTGAGCTGCCCAGTTTCAGGAAGTCCCTGTCCCCGTCGGGGCGGATGCCACAACCTGCGCGCTGTTCGCGGCGATCAATCAGACGAATTACCTCATATTCGACCAAGGGGAAAGATTGAGGGCACTAGAAGATGATCGAAGACCCCCGAGGAGGCACCGGAGGCCCCAGACTCCACCTCCTCAAGTAACGGAAGTACATCTCCCGTCTCCCTCGCGGAGACAATTCAGAGATGCCTCCCGAAGCCCGTCACCCCGACCCTCGGGGAGACGACCCCCTTTGGAGAGGCAACCCATAATTGAAGTCGGGGGACGCGGCCACGCCCCCACACGACAAGAAAGAAGACACTCCGGAGACGGGCATGGAAGAATCAACCAACGAGCACCATGCTCGAGAGATGCCCAACACGACCAGGACCGTCGTGCTCGACAATATTACAGGTCCCCATCCCTCTCCCCAGAGCGAAGCGACGAGGACGACCCCCGCGGTCTCTTGTCACAAGCAATCATGGAGGCGCCCACTCCCCCGGGCATGGAGAAGCCTCCACATCTGAAGGAATACGACAGAGTCGTGGACCCGATCGATCACATAGACGGGTTCGAGGCTATGCTGCACTATTACAACGTCGGGGGACCCATCAAATGCCGGTTGTTCCCCACGACCCTTAGAAAAGCAGCAATGGACTGGTACAAGGGCCTCGCTCCGGGATCAATCACCTCGTGGCGAAACCTAAAGAACCAATTCATAAGTTCTTTCACTGCGTCTCGGCGACACCCAAAGACCGAGGCAGCTCTCGAGGCTATCATCCAGAGACAGGACGAAACCTTGAGAGAGTTTATCAATCGCTTCAACCGCGAAGCTATACAGGTCCCCTGTGCGGACCACATGAAAAGATATTTGCTGGAGAGGGGGCTCCTCCCCGGCACAGAATTAAGAAAGGCAGTGGGCATCGAGCCACCTAGAACATTTGATGCCCTCCTCGAGAAGGCCCGGGCGTACATGGATTACGAGGAGAGGGAGGCCGCCAACAGAGCCCGAGACCCCAAGACTCGCGGGTTCAACAGCAACCCGCGCCAGGAAGCTGCTCCTCCTCGACGAATCGGGGAGAAAAGAAAAGAAGACAGACCCCGAGAAGTCCGAGAGCAAAGAGGACCCTCGGGGAGTTTTATCGAGTACACTCCGCTCACGGCTTCCCGCGAGCGCATTTTGGCGGAGTGTGCCAGCACGGACTTCAAAGACGGCGGCGTCAAACGTCCCCAACCTGCTCCCGCCAAGCCCGGAGCAGACAAGAGCAAGTATTGTCAGTACCACAGGATCCATGGTCATCTGACCGAAGATTGCGTCCACCTCAAGGACGCCATTGAAACCCTCATCAAGGGAGGGAGGCTCGCACAATACCGGCGAAACGACGCTCCTCGCCGTGACGCCCGGGAAGCAAGAGAACTGGAGGAAGACGCCCGACCATCTGACGAGTCGGTCCCCGTCCAGACCGCCTTCTCCGTCACCAGACCCGAGGACTTCAACGTCCCCGAACACCTGCAGGAGCCGCTCACAATACACAGCAGGTGGGAATATTTCCCCTCCGCCATGGTCATCAATGGCGGAGGGTTCAACAACCTGACTATCAATTCGGAGCCCATCACCTTCTACCTGGAAGAGCTCCCTGGGGGCGCCCCCAACGCAGTCATTCCCCTGCTGATAAGGGAAAGAAAGGCTAACTTCGATGTGCACTGCATCCTCGTCGATGAAGGAAGTTCCGTCGACGTAATGTACATCCAATTGTTCCGAACTCTGCAGCTGGACGACTCCC